TCGTTACTTTAATAAGACTTTATTATGATAAGATGATCTTCAAAAATCAGCCAATCACAATAAAAGCCCGCTATGCTGAAACCGATAAATATACCTGTATTAATAAATTAATCTATTATTATTAAGCGATTTTAATTATTTTTTCAATACTAAGTACAACTATAGTATATATTTTCTATTTTCTAATATACTGTCTGTATTTTTGGTTATTATTATTATTATTATTATTTTTGTGAACATAAAATCGTAGCTTGAGAACACCTACATTTTATTGCTCTGTTCTCATGAGAACAGTTATAACAGCTTAAATTTTATTAATAATAAAAAAATGATATCTTTACGATCTTTATATTTTTTGACTCATTTCTAAGTCTAAAACCATACAAACATGTCTAAATTTTAAAATTCTAAAAAGTCCTTCTCTCTCTGTTTTCGATGTTTCTCACCTTTTTTTTGCATATATCTTGAAAAAATGAAAGTAAATAAAGTTAAACAACCTAACCAAGAATAAAGAAAAATACTCCCAATATAAACTGCATCGTCAACTGTTGCAGTATGATAAATAATAAAAACTCTAACTGGAACTTCAATAAGTAATCCAAATCCCCAAACAGCTGTCAGAATAATAAATGTTTGTCGAAACCCAGCATAAGATCTCCAATACCTTTCATAACGATCAGGAATAGGTTCATCTTCTGTTAAACCTTCAAGATTTCCCACTTCTAAATTTTTACTATTATAATATAATAATGGTCGCATTTTGAATGAACCAATTTTGACCGGAATTAAGGTGATAATGAATACTAAACCGAATACACCAGTGACAAATGATTCTCGTAATAAAAATATTCTCGGATCACCCTGAATTACAGACAGTATAATTCCGATAATGAATGCAAGTACAACTAATAATCCTATGACGCCAACTTGTTTACGAATGATTAAATTAACGATGACAGAAATTGCCGGTGGAACACCTGCTAAAGCTAGTGCCCAAATAGTTGGTAAAAACTTTGAAAGGATATAATAAAGAAGAAGTGGTAAAAAGAGATCGATAAACATCATTAATAAAAGTCGTAACATCGTTCTTGATTTACTTGGCTGAGTCTCCGATGATCGAATTTCATGAGCTTCATTGTCTGTTCGGTTTGATTCTTCAAGATGAGACATTGTGTTTCTTTTAAAAAGTTACTGGGTTGTATAATTACAGTATTTAATAGTTATTAATGAGTATAATATGATGTTATTTCGCTCTATAAATACCATCTAACTACAAGTTACTATTTGAAGCAGAATATAATGGTAGGAAAGTAATAGACCAGATTTGTGTTTATATCCTTAGATGATCAAGTAATAATGGTTGTCCACTTATGCTTCAAAACAATCAAAAACTTTTCTATCTGCCAGTAAGGTTTTGCAAATGCTGGGTACTAACACTAAATTTAATAGTGTTGTTCCGGCATTTATAGAACTTTATCATCCAGACATTCATTATGATACATACATTGGAAGAAGATCGACTAAATTTGGAATACTCTGAATCGTCTACGTAAGAATTTTTTTTTTAGAAAATTCTTCGGAAACTTTCATTTGATTTTATTGTTTTTTTTTTCTTTTTCTTTTACAAAGAATTTTCCTTTTACTGCTGTAGTAGATAACAAATATATATATATAAAAACGTACATTATAGGAATGATTTACTATTCTACTACTTTTTAAATACTGCTTTAAACTTTGACGGTTATATCCAAAATTGGATATCATCGTTATCGTCATATCCGTCATGTATTTATTTATTTAAGTCTTCAATTTTAACTCAAATTTATCAGTTCGTTGGATATATTAACAAATAAATGTTTGTGATAATTAATCTTTGGATGTTTAATAGTCCAGACACATTATTGAATCATTCTCATATTTGAATTTATTCTTTTTTCACAATTCCGGGTGTGTATAACAAGTTTGGTTAGAGAATTTGTAGGTAGATTATATTGATTTTGCCGTGCAAAGATTAGATTGAGCAAAATTTCTATAATGCGGGAGATCGACGGGCAAAACTTTTAAGGATAACTGAGTAGAGATGGGTTCGGTCGGCTATTTTCGGCTTAGCTGACCGAACCCATCTCTAAATATGAGGACATATTGTGTAGCATCGGCATGGATCAGATGACAATCACATCCGTTAAGGTTATGATTGGAGCTGTGTGTTGATCTCCCATTTAGCCGAAGCGTACGCCACTGCGCCTTTATAGTTATACTAACAGATTTTCCGGAAATGTGCTGGTATAATTCAGAATAGAAGTTTCAAGATCATGAAAATCATCCTAAAAATTACTAACGCTAATAGTTACAGAATTAAAAATTCGATTTTCACCAATATATATTTTAGATTTTCAAGCTATGCTGAGTTTTTAAATCAATTAAAACTGAGTATATGTATCGGTATTATATAGTACATATATTGTTTCTTTGACATTTACTAAGATTATAAAAAAAAAATAATAATAATGTTTTTATATTCTTATTTACAAATAAGAAGTTTTTGATCTTCGACGATTACTACATCTGAAAAAATATTTACTAGATATAGTCTTAGCCACACAATAATTAAGTCTTATTTACAAATAAGATGTTTTTTATCTTTGACGGTTACTACATCTGAAAAAATAATTGATTACTAATGATAGAGTATAGTCTTAGCCACTAAATTAAGCATTATTAAAAGTTCTGGTTATGGTTTTATCATAATTGAGACCCAATAAAGTTAAAGTAACGTTTTTGCAAAGTGCTTCTTTCAACGCCTTTTCTCCCTCAGAACAAAATCGATTACCATAAAGAGACAAGGAGGTCAGAGTTGTATTTTTACAAAGAGCTTCTGCTAATTCCTTACCTTCATTAATGCCAAGCTGATTTCTATTAAGGTTTAAAGAAGTCAAAGCAATATTTTTACGAAGAGCATCCGCTATCACTTTTACCCCTTCAAAGCCAATTTCATTATTTCCAAGATCTAAAGAGGTTAAAACTGTGTTCTTATAAATTGCTTCTATTATTATTTTTACTCCCTCAGAACCGAGTTTATTAGAATAAAGTTTCAAGGAGGTCAGAGATGTGTTTCTATGAAGAACTTCTGCCAATGCTTTGCTTCCATTAACGCCAAGCTTATTAAAACTAAGATCTAAAGCGGTTAAAGTGGAATTTTTGTAAAGAGCTTTTGATATTTCTTCTATTCCTTCATCTCCAAGCTTATTAATAGGAAGAATTAAAGAATCTAAAGTTGTATTTGCATAAAGAATTTTTGCTAATACTTTTGCTTCCTTAGAACCAAGTTCACACTCACAAAGTTTTAATGAGGTTATACAAGTATTCTTACAAAGAATATCTGCCAATACATTTAATTCTTCAATGCTAAATTTAATCATATAAATATCCAATAAAGTAATAGTGCTGTTTTCATGAAGAACTTCCAATAATCTCTTTACCACTTTGTTATCATTGATTTCACCTAAACCTAAATATTTGATTTTTTTACTCGTCCGTAATAGCATTGCAATTAACGAATCTTTAGTAACTTGAACTACTTTTTTGAATCTTGAATATTCATTAATATATTCACTAAAGTTACGAGGTTCATGTCCTTCAGGGCAAAGCCAGTTCACAATTCCTTCGTCTAAATTATAAGAATTGAACGAAGTAACATAAGATGTGTATTCAAATAGTGGTGTTGGTTCATTTAGAGGTAATATATTTAATGAAACCAATGGTGCTTTTTCCTCAGAATTCAGTAATAAAAGGCATATTTTTATAAGCTTTCTATGTTTGCTAAGTGATAGCGGATTGCTCCACAATATTTGAACAACAACTCTACACCATTGACGATTTACAAGGAGACATGGAAATAAAAATTTACAACTGTCTTGAAAGTTAATAAATATTTCAAAAAAGCATTCATTTGGAAGTGCTATCATTTTTTTTTTTTTTTAATAAAATATTTAAAGTGAAATTTTAATAAAATTTACGAATAATTTTTTTACGTTAAGTGAAACGTATTTTAAAGCGAAATCATGCATATTGTAAAATTCGTGGAACAATATCAGTTACACAATTTGCCATATCTAAAATGATCTTATCGATCGATCGTTATGATTTTCATAAATTACTACTGTATGAAGTTTTTCGGTTAAACCACAGTCAAAACACAAGACACTCTCTAAAATAAGATTTACAAACAGTGGCGTAGAAAATATAACTACCGTAAAAGGTCATATAAAAGATCCCCTTTGATAGTAGGCCCCCATGAATTAGACCCGTGTATTAATCACAAGGATCTCCATTAAATAAACACAGGTGTTTTTTAAAAAACATATACTGCTTATTATAAATGCAGTACTTTAGGAATTACCTTGCTACGATATAACGCTCAGCTGTGTACTCGACCCCGGGTCTATAGGTTTTAAAATCGGTGGAATGTAACTAGGGATGTTAAAAGTCCGGTCCGAGTCGGTTTTTTGAGTCTACTCCAAAAAAGTCGAGTCCTTATTAAAGTTCGATCCCAAGTCAGACGACTTGCATTTCACGTGCAACTTGTATATTAAATGTAGCACTAAAAAAATGTGTGCGCATGCACAATATGCATGAATACTGTTCAAGATGCATGTGAAATGCAAGTAAGTTCCAAGTCTGACTTGGAACCGAACTTTAATACTTGACATTTGGAGTCGAGTCGGACCGGACCGAACTTTTAACATCCCTAAATGTAACAGACCCGGGTCTTGTATATGACCTTTTACGGTAATCAAAAAAAAAAAGATAATTACAAATCAAAAAAAAAGTTCGGTCAGGCATATTACCAAAAATGGGGGACGTCTAAAGCGGAGGCAAATCATGTGATAAACAACCAATCAAATTATAGAATTTTGATGATCTCCGGCGAAGCAAAGCAAGAAATAAAAACAAAAAACCTGAAAAATACAAAAAACGGCAGTCTAAACCTACCCCGGGTAGGTTAATCAAAAATGTCGGGAAGGCGATTTTGCTTATATATAATTGCCAAATACCTTACCTAACTCTAATATAGGATGCCCCTAACCCTAAAGTTAATCGAAAAAATTATTAAACATGAGTTGCCTCCGCTTTAGACGTCCCCCAAAAATGGGGGTCGTCTAAAGCCGTGTCCAATCACGTGACATGTAGCCAATAAAATTGTTTGTTTTGATCGACACGGATCAACCCGAAGAGGAAAAAACAGCGAAAAAAAGTGAAAAGCACAAAAAATACAAGAAACAAATGTCTAAACCTATCTTGGGGCATTAATAAAAAATGTCGGGAAGACAATTTTACTATAAGACAAGCCCTAACCCTAACCCCGGATTAACCCTTACCCTAATTTTAATTAAAAAGTAAAAAGCATATGACTGGACACGGCTTTGGACATCTCCCATTATTAGAAACGATTTACAGCATGCCGATAAAAAAAGACAGGAGGGGGTTAAATTCTGGAATTCTGGTCTAAGTTTGTCCGAATTTGTCCGGTCGGAAAATCTCGGAGGGTTCTTCCTTGCAAGGGTCCAATTAATAATTAAAAGGTCATGAATATATCTTATTAATGTAAGCCTAAGTTATGGATAGGAGTGGTATTAACAGAATTATGATTATTTTAATCTGACACAATTTTAACAGCAGAAACGCTAGACATAAATTAAGGTAATATTTAAATAACATTTGATTGTTTAGGATTTGGGTTCTTCTGGTACGTATATGTGTCATCGATCAATCAAGAGACCGAAAACTTTCTGCAACACTATCAACCTTAGCGTTAGCGTTAGTAAAAGAAAAAAAAAACCCCTTTCCTATATCCGATACTATTTATGAAAAAATTTTCCTAAATGAGCCTTATGATTTACTATTACGTACTGTTACGTACTAAAAGTGTAAGACTAGCTAAATAAGTAAATATTAACGGATCATTATGTTCTTTATTTTTATAAAGCACAATTTTTGTTTTGTGCAAGCAAACAATAGACATCTGATTCAATCTCTATAGTCATTGTGTAAAATAACATTTTCAAAGAAACTACAAATAATGAATGGAATTTTCAAATGTAAAATCAGCTCTCTCTATAACAAACCCTGGGCATTGGTGGTTCTTAAGAAAAAATAGTGATTCAAATATAACGAAATTTTTTCATTCTTATAGAATCACTAGCTCATTTAGAGAGAGTTGACTTTAATAAAGAATTTTAACAAAAATGTCACTTAACATGCACTTAAACGGGATTCACGGGACCTTGCTATTATTTCTCGTATTAATTTTTGTAAAGTTTAGTTTCAGTCAAACAGTGCTAAATACTCCAGAAACTTCTGCAGGTACAGAAACGCTAACAATAGTGACATCTACAAATATAACTACACATGTCCTTTCATCTTCTGAAGTTACATCTACGATTGTAACAACACATGTTCCTTCATCTTCTGAAGTTACATCTACGATTGTAACAACACATGTTCCTGCATCTTCTAAAGTCACATCTACGATTGTAACAACGCAAGTTTCTTCTGTAGTGACAACGACAACAACGCAAGTTTCCACAACTTCTGTAGTGACAACGACAACTACACAAGCATCTATAACTTCTGTAGTGACAACGACAACTCCGCAAGTTTCTACAACTTCTTTAATGACACCAACAATAGCACAAGTTTCTACAACTTCTGTGGTGACGCAGACAACAACACAAACACCTGCAGTTCCTACAGGTCTTACAACTTCTATAATTTCTGGAACTTCCGTAACTGCAACAACAACGGAGACAACAACACAAACACCTGCAATACAAGAACCGACACCCAATCCTGGAGCGCCGAAATCGAATACAAGTTCATCTTACAGTTCAACTAATACGGGAAATTCTCCAACAACGCCACCAACCGAAGTAACAACGATTATTAATCAATGCACAGATAATACGCAATATTGTCATACAGAGTATGTTTTTTTTTTAATTATTTGAATCTTTGTATTATACTGTAGCACATAAAAATTAAAAATTTTATTGATTCTTTAAAACAGTACTAATACAAAAGCCACTGGAAAAATATTTACAAGTACAGCTGCTAATCAAAAGATTACTCTAACAACTTCTTATGATAAAACAATTACAAAATTCACAACTACAACGTTTATACAAACTGTTACTCAAATATATCAAGGATATACAACAACTATAACTACTAAAATCAATGGAGTGGATACGACATTTGAAACATATTATCCACCAAGTACTGTTGTTGTGATGCAAACAGTAACTGCTTCTGTACCTGCTATAGAAGCAGGAGTATCTAATAATATTGGCGTTAATTTCAGAGATTATAATGGATTAATAAATATTATTTGGAGTCTGTGGTTTATAATTTGGAGTTTAGTATATATGATTTTAACTTGATCTTTATTGTCAAATTTTTTAGTTAATATTTTTAGTTGTTTTATTAAATGACTTTTTTTTTTGATCTTAAAATTTTAATGCTAATTACAAATTAAAGTCTTAGTATATATATATATATTTATGTAGATATTAAAAAAAAAAACATTATCATTATTATTGTTACGTATAGTGATAATATATTATCCATCCATCCATCTGGTACGTAAATAATTAATAAAGTGTGTGGCCGAACGATGTAGCAATATGATTTCCTTTTCATTAATCACTGTAATTGATTTACGTACAGTACGTAAATATTTCTGACGTGAGACATTATACTATACTATATATTATATATCATAGGAAGACTTTCGTATGATTGGCAGTTTAAATCAATTTAATTTTACATTATTTATACAATTTAAAGTACTTTTT